AAATCGAGGGACGCGACCCACGTGGCCACAGACGGTCGCGAGCGTCGGCACTATGACGCCAGCACGACCGCAGCTCGTGTGCGTGCGGCCGTCTTTGTCCGGACTGAAAAGTCCAACATCCTCTCACTTAACGGTCTCTATTGGGGGGGATAAACCGCTGCGCCGCCAAAGGAACCAGCGACACTGGCCGCGGCTCGTCGCCACGCGCCGGCTCGGAAGAGGGGCTGTCGACGGCGCAGCAGAGCGGCACGCCTTGCCGCTCGAGCCGCCAACAGCCCCCCACCTCGACGTGACGGCCGTTCCCAGGGCCTGCCGGTGCGAGCCCGACCCACGCCCCCTCTCGCACCCCCCCGACCCCCCCTGCGCGGCGCACCCGCCCGCTGTGCGCCGGCTCGAGCGCCTATTGCCAAATCGCGACGTTTGAGCGCAGCGCACGCATCCTCTGGGCGCCTGAGCGCGGCAAAATCTTGCCAGAATGTGGCCGCAGGAAGAGCCTCCGGCGGGCCTCCGGCGGACGCCTGGCGGCGTGGCGCTGCGCGCCGGCCTGCGGCCCAGGTACCTATTTGACCGCTCGATACCAATCTGACCGCTCCGAATCCCTTGGTTGGCCCTCGCAGCTGTGATACAAAAGTGGGGACGCGCCTGGCGGCGCGCCCCCAAAAAGAACTATACTGGAAAAGAATTGAAAACTACAGGCCGAGGGCCCAACTTGAGAATCGTGCTTTTTGTGAGGTTGTTTCGTGTTAGGTTGGGTTGAGAGATTGTTTGTTGTTGGGTTGTGCTTGGGGTGAGGTTGTTCCGAGTGAGGTTGGTGTCCGAGGAGGCCACCGGCCAAAAGCGCATGTCTTGAAGGTCCGATACTGGAAGCCCATATAGGCACCTTACACTCCCCCGCAGTATCGCACCTCTTGAGCGACACTTCTACGTTTCCGCAGCTGGGGATTCTCCGGGTACCCCTCTTTGTACCCGTGCTGGCCGGATTCCTCCTCCGAACAAATCAAGTTCGATCGGCCCCAGTCTCGAACTGGCAGCCACTATCTCACCGGAGGTACCATGTCCGAGGAGGCCACCGGCCAAAAGCGCATGTCTTGAAGGTCCGATACTGGAAGCCCATATAGGCACCTTACAGTGAAGTGTTCTCCTTTCCTCTCCTCTCCTCTCTCCTCTCCTCTCCTCTCCTCTCCTCTCCTCTCCTCTCCTCTCCTCTCCTCTCCTCTCCTCTCTCCTCTCTCCTCTCTCCTCTCCTCTCCTCTCCTCTACTCTCTCCTCTCCTCTCCTCTCTCTTCTCCTCTCCTCTCCTCTCCTCTCCTCCCCTCCCGTCTCCTCTCCTCTCGCTCTCCTCTCCTCTCCTCTCCTCTCTCTTCTCCTCTGACCTCTCCTCTCCTGCTCTCCTCTCCTGTCTTCTTCCCCTCTGTCTCTCGAGTCTCGTGTACGGCTTTTCCAAGATTTGGCAGAGCACGCGAGAAAGGCAAAGGGAAAACACTAGTTCAAGTATCATGCCAAAGCTCACAACTCGAACGCGCGCAAACCTCCTCACACTCAGATCTCAGTCCGAGCCTGGCTGTTCTTGCTTCTTCACCCCTTCCTAACTAACTAACTTACTAAAGGAACTTTCTTGTGGACAACAAGAAAAATTACAACAAAAGGCGGTCGCACAGCACGATTCGCGCGACAGGCAAAGAAACGACGACGAAACGGGCCCAGTCGCAGTCCAGCGCCTCGACCCCCGCCCCCACAGCCAACGACAAAACCCCCCGATCCCCGCGTTCGGTGTTGACAGCACAGGGCCACACACCCTCGCCCACATAACTCACAAGCACCTCTAACGCTCTGCGCCGCCAGGCGAGCGGTCACAGCGAATGAATGAGACGCGAAGCCTCGTTGTTGTACAAGCGGAGAAACGGGCCGAGGCTCGCGGCCGAGGCCGCACCCGCCCGCAACACCTCTCACGACCACGACCCGAGCTTTCGTCGAGAGCGGCGAGAGCGGGGCTCTCCCCGCCCTCGACCTCGCCGGGTGTGCGGCGGTCAGCTCAAGAAGGTAGCTCGGGCGGACAGCTCGCTCGGTCGCTCTGGTGGGTCGGCTAGTCGAGGCTCGGCCGCTTGGCTGCCTGCCGCGGGTGGAGACGCGGTGTGAAGACGCGGTGTGAAGACGCGGTGTGAAGACGCGGTGTGAAGACGCGGTGTGAAGACGCGGTGTGAAGGACGCCCACGTGAGGGCGGGGAGACGGCATTGTGCAGCCTACTCAGAGCACCGCGTGCGTACGAGGGAGGCGAGTGCAGTGAACACCGCGGAGTGGCGGAGTACGGCGGAGCACGTGTCCTACTCGAGCGCGGGTTGTACTCGTCCAAACTAACGTCTTCCGCTTCTAGGCTCGGCTGCTGCCTTGCGTCTTTCGGCCGACCGGCGAGCGTGCCCCCGCCGCCCCCGCCGAGCGCGTCCGCATTGCAAAGTGGCGAGTCAGTGGGTCCGGGGCGGGGCAGTCCGAGGCGGGGTACTCTGAGGCGGGATATGCGGCGGGCGGCCGGCGCGGCACCGCCCGCGGGCGAGGGGCGAGAAAGTCGAGCACTGCCGGCGCGGTCGCCTCGAAGTACGACCAAAACTTGACGAGGCTCGAGCCCTTGTCGGAGAACCAGTGCCCGTAGCCGGGCTGCGAGAGAAAGGAGACGTCGAGGCCCGCGGCCGCCCACTCTTCGCACAACCGCCGCACGGCGTCGTGCCGGATCACTCGGTCGCCCTCCGAAGCGATGCACAGCACGGGCGGCGCGCGACCGGGTCCTCTCCGGAGCAGCGCGGGCACCCATTTCGAGGTGAGGTGGTCGTCGTACGACGCCATCATCCCCTCGTACATCGTGCGAAGGTACGCCGGCATCGGCATCGCCCGCTGGAAGAGCTCGCCGACCCAACCCTGCACCGCGTAGCCCTTGTCTGCGGGCGTGAGGCACTCGTCGACGAAGCGGCGCGCGGAGGGCGCCTACTTAATTCATTCATTCGTCCTCGGTAATTAATTACTCAACGGAGCTCGTACAGCGGCGCGCGGAGGGCGCGTCGGTATACGCGTAGACCTCGCACAGGCGGACGCGCGCCTCGGCGTCGCCGACAGCCTCTGCAAAGCCCGGGTTGAGGCAGACGATCCGGCGGATCCCGTGGCTGTGTGCGGCGAGGGCGAGGGCGGTGGAGCCGCCGAGGGAGTAGCCGACGAGGTTGTAGTCGGCCACGCCGAGCGCCGCAATGAGCTTGAGCATCCATGCGGTCCCCTCGTCCACGTCGGGGTGCCTCTTGAGGCGGCCGTCCGGGAGCGGCCGCGCGTCGTCGTCGTGCCCCAGGTACGGCAGCAGCAGCAGCCGGCCCGGCAGCGACCGGAGCGCGTGAGCGCACGGGATGAACTCGTGCAGCGACATCGACATGCCGTGGAGTAGGATGGTGGTCCGGCCGCCGGCGGTGCTCACGCCGACCGCCGGCCGCTCGAGGTAAGTCCACGGCAGCCCGTCGACCGTCACGCTCCGCTCGACCAGGCCGAGCCGCGCAGCCATGAGGGCGGTCGCGGCCTTCATGTACGACGCGCAAGCGGTGCCGGCTACGGACGGCGCCGCCTCGAGAAGGCTGCTGATGGCGGGGAAGGAGGAGTCGATGAGAGCGGTGGCCATTTCGGTGCTGCCTCTCGTCCTCGATGATGCCTGCCGTCACCCTTAGCCTGCCCTTAGCCGACGCAGCGCGATTTCTTTTTCTCAAGTGCTTAAATGGGATTGATTCTCGCTGACTTGCCCGCCATAAAAACGGTTTGGATGCTCTCTGCTGCCGCGGTGCCCCTGTCGGTGCGAAGGCGCCCGGCGGCCGCGCGCTTGGTGCCCACGCCGACCGGCTGCTCTCGCAATGCGCGGAACATTCTTTTTTCCCGGTGTCGTGCGAGAGTTTAGGGAGCTTTTTTCTTCTTAGGGCGCGCGCCCGCAAGAAGCGTGCTCACATGACGACGCCCAACTTCTCTGGCCGGCTGCTTCACGGCCCCTTCGCTGTCTACGTCGGCGACAAAGAGTTTGCGCGTGACCGAACGCGCATCAATCGGCTCAACGTGCGCTACATCGTCAACTGCACGCCGACTCTGTCGAGTGGTGGCGTCGCCAACTTCTTTGAGAAGGATCGAGCCCTCGAGTACCTCCGCTTGCCGATGCGCGACGCCAACACCGAGTCTGTGCTCGCGCACTTGCCTGCCGCCATTGATTTCTTCGAGCGTGCACGTATTCGCGCCGACGGCGCCGTCCTGATCCACTGCAACGAGGGCAAGTCGCGCTCGTGCGCCGTCGCGCTCGGATACGTGATCATCTCGCACGGCAGGGCGCTCGACGAGGCGCTCGAGATGCTGCGCGGCGCGCGACCGCAGGCCGAGCCCAAAGAGGCCTTCCTGGCGCAGCTCGCCACACTCACACCGGCCGTGAGGGACGGCGTCGACGTGTCGCGCGCCTGCAAGCGGGCGGCAGAGAGCGGCAGCGACGAGGCGAGTGCGGCGAAGCGCCCGGCCGTCGGTCCGGCGAGGCCGCCAGATCGGCAGGCGATAGGGCCGGCGGGGCCGCCAGATCGGCCGGATATGGGGCCGGCGGGGCCGCCAGATCGGCTGGCGATAGGGCCGGCGGGGCCGCCAGATCGGCAGGCGATAGGGCCGGCGGGGCCGCCAGATCGGCAGGCGATAGGGCCGGCGGGGCCGCCAGATCGGCCGGATATGGGGCCGGCGGGGCCGCCAGATCGGCTGGCGATAGGGCCGGCGGGGCCGCCAGATCGGCAGGCGATAGGGCCGGCGGGGCCGCCAGATCGGCAGGCGATAGGGCCGGCGGGGCCGCCAGATCGGCAGGCGATAGGGCCGGCGGGGCCGCCAGATCGGCTGGCGATAGGGCCGGCGGGGCCGCCAGATCGGCAGGCGATAGGGCCGGCGGGGCCGCCAGATCGGCTGGCGATAGGGCCGGCGGAAGGGTGATCGACTGGCCCGGCCGCCTCGCCACCCACGGCCATCGGACCAGGCCTGCCGCCGTCACGCGCGACAGGTGGAGACGAAGCCGTGACCGGACCTGCGCTCCCTGCGGTCTGACTCCCTGGTTGACTGACCAGGACGTATGTGGTAAGATGTCTCGTGTTAAATCGCGGAAATTTCTTTTTTGGGTGGCTGCTTCCACATCCTGTGTTAGTGCCAGTGCGCGCCAGCCCAGTGCCCAGTGCTGTGCGGCCGCGAAAATTTCTTTTTGGAGCTGTGGACGTGTCCGCCTGGGGGGTGAAGTGCGCCCCTGTCTAGCGCCAGCCCATGCTCGAGGGCCAGCACCATGCTCCAGGGCTGCCTGCGGTGAACGAGATCGTGCGGCTGCGAAAGCTGGAGTGCTATTCTGACTACAAGGATTCCGAGCTCACGCTGGTCTGCAGCCGCGTCCGCACCGATACGTTCGACGCGGTGCCACGGAGAGCCGGTGGCTGGCAGGTGACGAGAGTCCCACCGGAGCACATCGAGAAGCGCAACCTCGGGACGCAGGACCTTTCGAAACGTGGCCAGGGGCAGACCGCCCGCACCCAGCGAAAGCGCAAACGGTCCACAAATGGCCAGCGGAAGTCCGCCGTCGTATCCTCCGGCACAGCCGTTGACGCAGCCGTCGGCGCCTCCGACGCAAGCGCGCTAAACGGTGAGGACGAGGTCGAGGTCGAGGCGATGGTCGAGGAGTGCGGCAACGGCGACGGCAGCGAAGCTGGCGCACGTGCGCCTGCCTCGGCGCCGCAGCCTCCGCAGCCTCGGCAGCCACAGTTGCAGCAGCTGGCACCGGCGGCTCCGGCACAAGACGCGCCGTCGGCCGCACCTTCGGCGCCGGCTCCGTCCCCGCTGGCCGTGCTCCAGCAGCTCGAAGACCTTAATTTCGGGGCGCCGCAGCAGGGCGGCCTGATCCCGCGCATTGCGGCCCTCGAGGCGCAGGAGTTTGGTGCGCCGCGGCAGGGCAACGTCAAGTCGCGGGTCCAGGCGCTGCGCGACCACTTCACGGCCGTGATTGGTGCGTGAGCGCGGCATGCGGCATGCCAGCGGGCCAGCGCGGCCACCAGGCCACAGAGCCGCAGCACGCGCACGCCTCTGGGGTACGGACTTTATCGATAGAGACAAAGTGAGCGTGCGGCTATGCGTTTACAGGAGTGTCAATATGCACAAAGGCAAGTCCAACACGCAACAGGAGTTTCACGAGATACAAAGGCTAGCCGCCAACGGGGTGGCAGTCTCCGCAGAGTCTCCGTCGTTGCGCGTTGGTGAAAACCCCTCTGGTGTGTGTTGAGACTCTCTGTCTCTCCCCCTCTCCCACTCCCACTCCCTCCCCCCCTCCCCCCCCCCCCCCCCTCTCTCTCTCTCTCTCTCTCTCTCAGAAAGAAAGAAAGCGAAAACAGACAACCCAAGGGAGGGATGGGAGGACGGCACGCCGCCACCACACAGGGATTCTTTAAGGAGAGGTGTGTGGTGCGCTAGCCGTCGCCCACCCTAGGGAGTCTGCCTCTTCCTATCTCTCTTCGCAGTCTCTCGCCGCTTCTCGCTGCAACCTTCATGCCACCTCGCGGTCGTCCCACTCTCGTCGTTCTCTCCCTTGTCATTTCCTCCTCTGTCGCGTCGTTCTCTTCTGCCTCGTCCTGCAACGCCGCCGCCTGCCGGTCCCTTGTTCTCGCGGCTTCTTTCGCCTCTCGGCGCAACTCCATCCTCCTCGCGGCGTATCCTGGCCCCTCGAGTCTATCGAGCTCCCTCGCGCAAGGACCACATTTCTGACTCCCACTCCGATCATTTGCCTCCAGGTCATGTTGTTTGTTGCTCAGGTCCACTCTCTCTTCGAACACTCGTGCCTCTACGGATGATGCCGGCGCTGGGGTCCCCTTCGGATGCATCTCTCTACCTGTGTTAGTGCCAGTGCGCGCCAGTCCCGTGCCCAGTGTTGTGCGAGGGAGTTTTCTTGTAAAATTCTTTCTGTGTTAGTGCCAGTGCGCGCCAGTCCCGTGCCCAGTGTTGTGCGAGGGAGTTTTGTAAATTCTTTCTCTCTTCGGTGGCACTTTTTCTGAGCTTAGCCTTCGATGTTATAATGAAACAAACGCAAGGCGGACATGGCATATCGCTCTCGGGCCCACAGACATCCCGCACACCCGCTGCCCCCGCGCGCGCCCCACCCCGGCCGGGAGAGCGGAGCACTTGGAGCACTTGGAGTGCAACCGAGGTCACTTTTTCTTGAAACCTGTTGCATGCTTAGTCTCTGTGCCATCGCCGTCGCTCGGCCCTCCGCAATCACGTCGCTGCCAAGCCTCTCGCACGCCGAGATACGCCGCTACTCCCGCCACCTCATCCTCGACGACGTCGGCGTGGAGGGGCAGCGACGGCTCAAGGCGGCTCGTGTGCTGTGCGTCGGCTCAGGCGGGCTCGGCTCGCCGGCGCTGGTGTACCTCGCCGCAGCCGGCGTGGGCACGCTCGGCGTGGTGGACAATGACGTGGTCGACGAGTCCAACCTGCAGCGCCAAATCATCCACGCGACGGACGCCGTTGGCAGCCCAAAGGTGGACTCGGCGGCGCAGCGCGTCGGCGACCTGAACCCTCTCGTGAAGCTGGTCAAGCACGAGGAGCTTCTGACGGCGGAGAACGCGCTCCGGATCCTCGGCGAGTACGACATCGTCGTCGACGGCTCGGACAACTTCCCGACCCGCTACCTCGTCAACGACGCCTGCGTCCTGCTCGGCCTGCCATTAGTGTACGGTACGAAAGCACATCCCGCAGCTGTGCACATACCGCGGCAACGCCGCGGCGCCAGCTCTCACGACGGCTCATCCACTCGCACTCCGCTCGAACATGGGCGGCACACAAGCGAGCCACACATCGGAGCCTACCGAGGCTCCGCTGT